TGTACACTGAGATAAATTGGTGCGGGTCCAGGGTTAGCGCGCGGACCTTGAATCTTAGATCGGAGGTGTGCGCCAACTGACACGGGCAGTACTATCTTCGCAATCGTCGTACTCCTAGTGTGCCCACAACGTTGACTACCTCCACTCTTCTACTGCAGCCGCATTCCGTGAAGCATGACATGGTCCAGTGGTTAAGCAATACATCGGACAGCTTTCTAGGAGTTTAATAAACTTTAACACGGTTAGTATGAGACTAGGGAAATGTCGTCCGACTAGGGCTTATTCCGCGACGCGTCCGCTTCAGGCTTGTTCCTTCTTCATCGCTGTAAACCTATAGCAACAAGACTACAGCGGCGCTGCGGAACGGTAAGCCGCGGGTCTCCAGTCCCCTCTTATATGACATGTGAACTGACATGTACAAAGTTCTCGCCATTCGTGGCTGTATCTCCTCCCACTGTGGCTGTTAAGGCACATACATGATCATTTCTTTCCTATGTTTCAAGCAGGATATACATGAAAACAAGGAATGCGAGCTACGGGGCTTCGTGGATATCGTCAATGATATTGATAAGGGTAACGTTCAGACGCCGTGCAGTATGCGACTGCAATCCCCCAAAATATCCGTTAGCTCGGCGAGCCAACGCATTGTACTAAGAAGATTGTCGAGAGGCTCGACTAGCTCGAGTTGACACTGTGTAGACGCTGTGAGCGGGAGCACATCCATCAGGAAGTAGGATTACTTGCCTGGTACAGATCGATAAGACGGCACTGGAGCCTGGTGTACATGTCCTTCACCAACAGCAAATCCTCGACTGCCACATTGCCATCGTTGCCGTGCGGCAAGAAATGTGGTGCCATCTTGGCATGTTCTCTGAGCTGCTGCGGGGCCGTTATCAGCGCATACGCAGCACTACGGCGAACTGGGAAAATACCTTCGCTTCCACAATGAGCATCGCTTGGACCTGGCCTGTCGCCACCAGATGAGATTGTAGGTCCTGTATGGACCGCATTATCTCGCCGATTTCTTCCCAGCTCATGCCGGTGGGACCCGAAGCTGTGGCATAATCGAAGGCAGAGAAAATGAATGCGGCGGCGTCGAAACGCTCTTGACGTAGTGAGGAAAGTTGGTTACAGATACGGAACATAGTGCGTCTGTGGGAGTCATCCATGTCGGAATCGACTGGGTTGATGGCAGCTTCGAATTGATCCTGAACCGAAGTCAGATGTTATATTGGAGCGTGTTGCTGAAAGATATGCACGTACCTCAGGCTGCTCGAGAAACTGGATATACTTCTCCATGTTGGTATAAATCTCAGATAGCGCCTTCTCCCGTTCCTCTAGTCCCACCAAGACGGCACGGAGCTGATCAACACTGATAGTAAGGGAGGACCACCATCCTGTGCTCTCGATGTAAGGCTGCATGTCGCAAATTGCCTGCGTGATCTATACGGATGACGCGTCAGCTAACGCTCAGGATTGCAGATACACGACGAACAACCTCATCTATCTGACGGCGGAAATGAGAAGCACGCATCGCCGCCTCCGTGAAATCGTTCTTCACAATAGAGGTGTCCGTCAAACGAGCCCAGATGGCCTCGCCACGTAGAGCTTGCAGGGTGTTGTAGCGACGCCTTTCATGTTCTATCTTGATTGTGGACAAGAACGTCTCCGCCCATTTATGAAGACTTTCGTTTGCGGATATACCGAGCTCTCTACACCGCGGCGGTAAGCATAGACGCAACACCATTTCAAACGGGCATGGCTTACCGATCTAAGCGGCCATCCAAGTCCTTGATTAGGCCCATTGCATCGTTTGTAGCCACCTCCAAGGCCTGGATTAGTGTAACGGATGCCGGATTCCAGTTCATCGAGGACAGAGGGACGACGCGACGCGAACCATGGTACGCAAAAACTGCTATTATACTCGGGAGACATACAGCTTTGTGTCCTCAGGAATCGAGATCCCGGTTGCGTACCCACGTGGGGCGATGCACAGAGCAAAATGGAACACCGCCCTCACGAGCTCGCGAAATGTGATACAGTCCGAGTCGAATGGGGGGAGGGACGACGCGACAAAAAAGCGCGAGAGGCTCGGAGGACACGTGGGAGCCTCCAAAGCACCGCCAGGATCAAATCAATAAAGGAATTGCAAGGCTTCAGCGCTCGGCTTCCATAGGTCATCCTGCTCACCAGTCACAATTAACGCCGATATGCTTGGTTATGGTTTGAACGTGTAACAAAGAGGATTGTTTTGGTCCGGACAAGGCTGGCTCCTTCCCCTGTTGCCGGTTTGTTGTCACGCTCAAAGAAAAGCCTTTGTTCGGGAAAAAAACGTGGCTCGGATGTACACGCGCGTATAAGGCCCTTTCAAAACCGGCGGTAGCTGGGCCAAATATATAAGTCGCCCGGTTCTAGAGGATGTGCAGAACGCTGTGAACAACGATATGCATCACCACTGCCCTATCTGCAAGTCTCTGTTCCTTTCTGATCGCAGCGACCAAGAAACCGAGACGGTGGCGACCGCGTGTGGTAAGCCGACTCGGAACGGTTGTCTTCACTGGACTGACGCTGCTTTCAGGCCATGTCTATCACAGAGATTGCTTGAAAACCCGGATGGCGCACGGAGACAAGTCTTGCGCAGTGTGTCGCTCTACGCTTCGCGATGGTGCCAGGTTCAAGAAGATATTCGTGACCTATGAGGAAGGGATATACGACGACGACATCAAGGCTAAAGTTCAAAGGTACCGATTTTACAGCCCCATGCCCTGGCTATGCCTGATGTAACTGGTAGTGCAACACGGGCCGAGATCGAAGCCCTCGCGAGTGAGCGCCCACTCACAAACTGGCAGACGATCCTGGACACTTTGAAAGAGCAACACATCTATAATCAAACGGCGATTCAACGCATAGACGACCAAATCAAGGCCGCAGAAGGAGCACAGAAAGCGCACGAGCAAAATGTGAAACGCATCCAGGAACAAATCGAGAACTTACAGGCACGATGTCGGGAGTATCAAGAGGCACGAACGTTGGAAGTAAGTCTCAATACTTTTAAAACACTTGCTTTTGTTGATCAATGCGGCGAAGATGCTCTAGTCGTGATGAGCTTGGAGATTTGAAGGCGATCGAGGGGCGGGATGTTGGCCGTGGTGTTTTGGTATCGCAAGTGCATCGTTTGACGAGAGGAGGCTAGATATAGTGTGAATTAGCACAAATCGAATGGACAACGCTCAAGACCACGTTCACTCGAGAAGTCCGCACCGTAGTCACTTCCATTATATGGGTGAAAGACGTTAGTGTATTCTCATAGCTTGAAGGGGATTGAGAGGATGACATGAATATCTACGCGAGTGGATGATGCCGCGGAGCGCCTCAGATGGGTCGAAGCGATGAGTTTGTGATTGTGCAGGACCCTGCTGCACATTGTCGTACGCAGGACGCGGCACTTGCCCAGGATAGTGCACCCGACGGCCGACGTGGCTACGTTTGAGCGACGGAGAGCAGGTTGGCTGCAACGAGGAGAGGAATATGGAGGTGGAGCAGACCGGCAGGGGGAGGTGGGCAGGAACAAATGGCACGAGCAAGAAGAGTTACTACTCTCTCAGCGTTCGGCAGCAGCTGGAAGAAATGGGAAAAGACGCACCTGTCTCCCCAAGAGCGACGTTCTGTGTGCGACGTAGGCACAACCGGACAACGGGGAGGAAGATGTGGCGGGGAGCAAGAGCGAACGGCTAGCGCGAGGCGTGACAGAGGGGCGAGAGTGAACGGGGGAACAGCGATCGAGAACGGGAACACGTACCTGTCGATTCAACCCGCCGCGTCGGTGAACAGGGCTCGGGCTACGGGCGCGGCGCCGACCTTGGTGTCGAGTGGCCGGGGCCCACAGGACGGGACGCGTCGCCCCCGCGATGTGGTCTCCTTCGTATACGCCTTCTGCGCGATCCAGAAGGGATTAGCGCTGCGCAACGGACACGCGCGATAGTCGACAGGCGAAACGGGCGACTTACGAGGGTGTCCCCGGGGATCAAAAGTGCAGGCCCGCACAGTGCTGGGCAGGCGGCTTGGGTTGCTGGACGCGGCGCGAGCGTCGTTTCTGCGACCACGCTCGCAGTCGAACCGTTCCCGCCGAGGTCGAGACGTGGTTGCCCGCAGCGCGCACGGGCCTCCGCGGGTCGAGCGCCGTCAGGACGTCGTGAGGAGTATATAGTCGAGAGCCTGTAGAAAGTCCGAATTGTGTTAGCAAATGCTACGGGGCGCCGGAGACGACTGCATACCGTTTGACGATCGTCGTCGTGGTCGTACGCGTGGGGGCGAGAGCGAGAGCGCAAAGGCCAGCGCCCTCGGGGGACTCGGAGACGCGCCGGGAGCTCCCACGAGCACACGTGCGTGTCCTCCCAGTTTGGGGAAAATTAGTCATACCAAGGGCTCGGACGGTGCGAGACGGGCCGCGCAGCGGCCCATATATGGTGCCCAGGGCGTGACGGTCGCGCGCGCCGAAGGCGCGTTCAGTAGGTGTAAGGGCGCGCACTCAGTCCCTCCTGCTCGCGTACCCCGCGCGAGTACTGCGTCCGCTGTACCAGTATCTCATGTACATACATGCAAATTCTAAGATAAAATGGTGTAAAATTGCGGGAGCTTCGCGGCGGCTCGCGCCGCCGCATTGAACGAGTATGGGCGCCTATTCCACGATCACCTTCGAGGAGGTGCACGATTTGAGTGATGTTTTGCGCGCGCAAACAAGGCTCAGATATCCTGAGAAGTATTTTAACCTCACTGGAGAGACTGTTTGTTATTTTTGGAGCTTCGCGGCGGCGCGCCGCCGCGAATCTGTGCACATATAGCAAGGATAGCCTAGGACCAGGCTCTCCTGGGGCTCTATATCCCGAATAATTCACGCCAAGAGCTTCCAAGTGGGTTGAAATGAGCCTCTACACATTCATAACGTCTGTGGTAATGTAATACAAATTTTTGCGAGTTCTTCGGGCTCCTGTGCACCTGTCGAGCGCGTCCACAAAGTCGCGAAGGAGGTCCCGATGAGATCACGTGCGACCCAAATGGTCTCGTAACCTAATTCTAGGGTTGGCTTTGGTCTCTAGGGGCGGGCGCTTCGGACCAATTCAGAGACCAATTTGGTCGGGTCCTTGGAATCGCGCTGTATCCCAGTTTGGACTCTCGTCTTCAGTGGGCGCCTCGTGGGCGCGGCGCGGCGCCCCCGCCTAGTCTCTTCACCAGCCAGTATTCGGGGGTCGCGCGGTTTCTTCCAAATCGGGACAGGAAGACAGAAACCCGCACATAGTGTTGGAGGTTGAGGGCGTCGCGGGCAAGCCGTGCGCGAGATCGCGACAAGGCGGTTAGGGGCGCGCGGCGCGCAGCGCCGACGCGCGATCGTGTTCGACCACGGGCTCCTGTCTCGTGTTGTATTTCGCTCGTGATATCCGTCGAGCTCGCGCTCCGGTCCCGTATACCCGGCGCCTATGTACCATCTAGTATGATCCTGCGCGGTGTATTAACGAGTGACGGAGGTGGGGGAGGGAAGCAAACGCGTAAGGCGTGCGTACGGGGCGGGCGAGGTATAAGAGAGCAGTGCGCCGCCACTATCGTATGCATCGCGCGGGATCGTACTAGATGGTACATAGGCACCGGGTATACGGGACCGGAGCGCGAGCTCGACGGATATCACGAGCGAAATACAACACGGCCCCTCGAGCGAAGCGCGAACGAAATGTAAAGTAACAAGAACAAGCAACAAGAAACGTACGGGCAGAGTCCAATGATGAGACAGCATAGCCGCGACATAGCGGCCCCTCCAGCATGACAGCCTCTAGAAGGCGCACTCATCATCTTCGACAACGAGGCGCGCGGAACCAGCAAATGCGGCGGTGGCGGCGGCGACAGGAGCGGCGGGTGCGAGCGGGCAGTTTGCCTGGTAATGCCCCTTCTGATGAACTCTGAACCTGGAAGGCTGTAAGCCGCACAAAGAGAGGTCTTCAGTCTGTGAGAGAACGACTATGATTGCATAGTACTGTACCTGTAAGCCGCACAAAGAGAGGCTACAAGTACTAGTAAGTAAACATGTAAGAAAGCATAGGTAGTGTGGGACTTACTCTTCAGTCTGTGAGAGAACGACTGAAGAGCAGAGGCCTGCAGAGTCCTCCTTATATATTACTGGGGAGGACGATGAGTAAGCGTATAGGAAGAGGGCATGTGACGTCCAGAGGACGCTGACTGAGCGATGAGTAACGCTGAGTAA